GTAGAATTGAACCTCATCGGTTAACCAGTGTTGTTTGCATTTTGCTTGACTGAATAGGTGTTTCTTCCAGTTAATGGCAGTAAACTTTAGCAGTGATGCTTTGGTTAGATTCCGGAAAGCTATAATAGATAATACCAATGGCTGAGCACCAGACAGTAGCCATTATTTTCCTGCTGGTGTAATTTCAGATTTGGAACTTGTTTGCGTCCTTCGTCATGATCAACTCATTGAGACGATCTCATCACAATCGCTATTCGATGAAGAAATTGATCATTCGATTTCTCAGATAAAGCATCGAACACAATTCAAAACCTAGAACTCTTTGACTTTCACTGAGTTAACGTAGAACCCATTCATCGAGTTTGTCCACCTAGCCAACTTGATTTAAATGGTTGGATATTGTTGAAATTCCAACACCTGTTATCTGTGACATTTTTCTTGCACTTTGACGTTGGTTTTGTTCGACTAGCTTTTCAGATATTGATTGTCAATTGTAGATGGATGTCCATTACCAATTTAATATTCAAAACTCGTATCCAGACTGCGGGAATTCAGAAACTAACGTTGTACTGTCCGATCAAAAGTGGATTCTTCACCTATGCTCTTGTTGGCACCAGTTTCAGAAATACTATTATTTAGCTTGAACTGCAATAAAAATAAACAAATCTCTTCTTTTTTTCATATTCAAGATGAGGGCTATACAATAGTTAAGTTAAATTCTGAAACAGACTGACATTTTAATGGTTAGGAATGAGTAATATATTTTGGGGCAAATATTCTAATAAATATATTAGAACACAATAATTTTTTATTCTACAACCGGACATTATTGTCCGAAAAAGCCTAACAGATCAATTACGACTGATTAGTGCGTCTGATTCTACTTATGGCCTTGTGCCATATATGCTCGACCCTTCTCTTTCACTCCCAAGAAAGGAGATAATGACACTAAGACGTAGGGTGGCTACTGTGGGTGAACAGGAAGGAAAATAGTTTGGAAGGACCTGGAAATCCATTTCTAAACAGGAAGAAAAGAGATAAAACTCTACACCTGTTCAAATGACGGAAGAAGAGTGTGAACTGAACGATAGGCGAACCTATCTTCTCCTATTAAAAAGAACCGATCTAAGAGAGTGTGTTCACTGTATCGTGATAGACAATTTTCTTCTCCGGAATCTAGCTTACATATCTATACTTCGAATATTTCTGCCACATATTTACTAGATCTCCTAAATGAAATCGAAAGAAGAATTGCCAAAACTATTGGACATGGTCTTGAGTCTCGGTTTTATCCTTTTTCTCACCATCGTAAGGTTGCCTCCCTGTGTCTATTCTATATACACTTTCATGATTAAGTTCTTCGCTATGGCACTGTTATGGTCCAAGTTCCTTGTAGCACGGTGATGGTCCAATGTTGGAACCAATGAAAGAATAACACGAACACAGGTATGGAATACAAAGATATATTACAAACAGAAATATAATACAAAGAAGTAGAAGTATTAGTAATGACTCTCAGATTTGGTTAGAGTGAACTATGTTGTCTCGACAAGTATCACTATTCCAATGTCCTTACAATATGCTCTCAATTATCTCTCCTCGTCTTACAACCTCCTGATACCTCTTGAGAGGTGCAGTATTTATAATGTCAGGAATAGTCCTTTACTATAATGGGTAAGTTCCCATAATATTTACCTATACTTTATGAATTTGAGCTCAGTACTCGACTACCAATGAGGTCTCATCAATTTACAGTTGAATTGTCTAGATGTAACAGTCACTTCTTAGCTAACAGTTTATATTTTCGCGTACTTCACGCTTGTGGAACTCCCTTCCGGCTCCATGATTTGCAGCCAAACTTAATCTGCATGAATTTAAATACAGTGTCAATCGTCATCTACTGTCCACTTGATTACTCTGCTTTTATTCCCGCTCCTAAACAATGTTTCTGTTTCTAACTCTTCCACAAGCAGTAACCACTTGTGTCTCAGTGGCTTTAATACCTTAGATGGAGGGGGAAACTCGAATAAAAAAGAAAAATTATATTACCCAACGTGACCGCTTAAAATCATTGTGAATATTGAATTCAAAGAGGAACAAACCAAGCGATTACCAAAGTAGTAATGCAGATAACTAATTTAATATGAATCAGATTAATGTCGACCGACATTCTAAGAATCGTCTTTGTAGTTCTTATGGTGATTTTCTAAAAAAAAATAAGAGTAGCTTAAGTGTGGCATAAGGCCGAAAGTATGGCGCACCCAGTGAGAATCGAACTCACAACTCAGTTTTAATTGATCTAGCAAGATATGCTTGCTAACCATTACACCATATTGAAGTGCCCGTATTGGGGGGGGTTTCGCTTGACAGCCTACTTTTTTCTCTTTCAAGTTTTCGTTTCTCACAAATCTAGCTTTCCGCCATCTGTGGTTTGTTTTTATTCTGATATTTGTTTTGTGATTTTTTCCCCAGAATTTTGTGAGTTTTTCCCAGTATTGGAAATTAAATTGTGTTTTCATACTTGAAAATGGATTTGTCGACAGAAATGATTTCCACCTACCAATGGATTATGCAAAAAAAAAAAAAATCAGAAGCACGACATACTTCCAAAAACCTGACGTCATGCATTTTAAGACAGTGTGTATTATCACTACACAGTGATATTACTGATCTCATTATAGTCACCGCATAGTTAAAAAGAACAGTGGTTTTATTATCACCATTTGGTGATAATATTTTTTCGGTATTTTCGGAGAATCTAAAATAATTTACGATTACTTATGAGTTAGCACCATCATCATCATCATCGTCATCAGTTAGCAAATTTTTGCGTCAATGTAGTCATCCCTCCCCTCCATCTTACAAGTGTGGTTCATGATGACATTCAAGACAAAATAGGGCAATGGGTCTCCGGCTACTTGTGCATCGGTGATGTTGTGCTTACCCCGCCTCTCCTCTCAGAAATTCCTCCGCCCACCGGTAAAGCCGTTGGTCTCTGAGGCGCAAGCTCTTACGCCCAGGCCGATGGCCGCTTAGCACAGTAGGGTTGTGTTGACCATGTTTACCGTAGTCTCTGGATATAGAATCCAGGGAAGTACGTAATGTGTTCAATATCAGAGGTTGGCAGTGAAGATTCGGAGAAAGTAGCAGCTGTTAAGTAATTCTTTAAGTCTTCGATATCAGAGGTTGGCAGTGAAGATATTTTGGGAGAAAAAAATAAAATGGCTGCCTTTATACACGTCGGATTGAATATTTTGAGCTTTCTGATTGGTTAAGACTTCTCTTGGTGGACTATAAAATGAGTCAGCTCATTTTGGTTGGCTCACTAGTAGAGATACCCCCCAAAAAACTAACAGGTTGCGGAGAGGCGTTTCCCTTTACCGGTCGGCTAGAGAAACCATTTCGACTACCCTCACACAGTTTTGCCGTTCACCGGGGTGTGACCGTCGCAGGGCAGAATTGGATATAAGCCGTGAATCAGTACAGTTGCTCATACCAATTCACCTGATTAAAGCAGGGTCGACCACTTTGCTGCAAAGGTACTACCACTGACAATACATCCCGTACACCATAATTACCGCAATAGGAAATTAAAAGGTATTACATAAAAATGCAGATGTTTTATAAAAGCCAGTGTGTATTATCACTGTAAAGTGAACATCTACGTAGGTGTTTTCCTCCATGTTGTCTTGACTGGTAGGAGAAGCAGAATCTGGAATTTATTCCACAACGTTGACTAGAAGACTGGATGGGAACTTTTTAAAAAACGCAGCCATTATGTAACTACTTTACACGGTGTTTTGAGTGATAAACAAAGCATATCTTCTGCTCGTTATACTCGAACTCTCCCTTTTAAATTCTATTTAAAAACAAAATTCTGACATCCCTCCTTCCAAATCCCCTTTCATTATCCTCGGAACATCTTTATATGCCCCCCACCCACTTTGGAGGTTGGCGATCATAGCTTTCCACAACTTCCTCTCTCTTGTAGCTTTTAATAAACTTGTTCTGTCACTCCCTTACTCAAGCTGTTCTTCGTTCTATTCATCTGTCCTCTTTTCCTTCTTATGTCCAGTGAGTATCCGATTTTCCAAGCTGTCATTCCTTATTTATATACCCCAGAAAATTCAACTGTCTTTCCTGGTGTATTTCTGTTTCCATTTTCTCCAAAACTTCGTCGTTACTGACATATTCATTTCCCTGCATCGTCAGTGTCCTGTAAAACCGCATTTCTTTTGCTTCAAGTCACTTCTTCATCTTTGAAAAGATCGTCTAACATTCACTGTATTTCCGTGCGACTATAATAACGTCGCCTATAATATCAATGTGCAGTGATAATAGTCACCACCATTTTTTAATTCCAGGCCGAAATCTTTTCAGCACATCCTCGTAATATAATGACCTGTTTTCAAAGGTATATTTTTAGTCTCTCAACATTTTTACTGCTTCTACCGTCATTTCAATGCTGCTTTAATAATATGTATTTTATACCCTTGACAATAACCGTTCAGTTTTGTTCTTCCCTTGTTGCCATTGATGAATTCATTTCTGATTCAGTGTTCCTTGAGATTCTCACTGACAAAAAATTCATAAACGTATACCGATACAACCACATGGCATCCATGAATAAGCATATACACACATAGTGGAATATAGTGGCGTTTTTAAATATTTTAATATTTCACAAAAGCTAAATATTAGTTTTAAGTATATATAATTTAATTCAAGTAAGTTGACGGATTCAATTTCGCTATATGGTTTCTCTAATATTGAAAATGATGGAAGTTTTCTTGTTGAAGTAGAAGTGAATATCTTTTATTCAGCCAAACGAAGACAAAGCTTCGGTAAAAGAAAACAGCGGAAACGAAAATGCAGTTTATGTATTCCAATATTGTCGCCTGATGATTTCATTTGAACTGCTTTCTTTTGTCAGCAAATACAGAATATCGGCCATATTTTAATATCAATGGAAAATTATTATCTAAATTTAATTTTTACAGAGCGCATTCTCTCTCTCTCTCTCTCTCTCTCTCTCTCTCTCTCTCTCAACTCGACACAAATATAAAATTTTCTCTTTCCTTTATTCCAGTTTACTTCATTCTCAATCAGCAGCAGTAGTGTTAAACAAACACGTATTTATACATACATACATACACACACATACACATGTATATATATTTGTGTGTTTGGGTGGTGGGGTTCCTTAAAGACGACAGACAGGATACTGTGATTAGGCTTTTTAATTTAATTTTTCTTGTCTTCGAAAATGTGTTTTCTTTTCTGAGAACAGAGTGTGTAGAAACTGCCCAAATGTTCTGTATTTCTAAATGTTCTGTAATTCCGAAATGAAAACACCAGTTCGAACAAAATAAAAATAAAAAGCTTAATTGCAGTACCTTGTCTGTCGTTTTAATGAAGCATGTAAAAAAGAGGGATTGCTGCCTAAATAAACAATTATATATATATATATATATATATATATATATATATATATATATTTATATATATATATATATATATATATGATTTTGATTAAAATATGATCCTGAGTTTCACGCTTTTTGACGATCTCTAAAGCGTGAAACCCAGGGTCACAAACTCACATCAATCCAACCAAATATGTTAGCTCCATCTCTGATATTGAGCGCTTTCTAACAAGTACCAAAGATATAATATATAAATAATTATATATATATATATATATATATTTTATATACACACTTTTCACATAGATATATATATACATATATATATATATATATATATATATAATTTCAATACCCCTCCTAATTTTTTCATATATATATATATATATATATAAAAGAATATTCACGCATAGAATCAATCAGCAATATTAATGCTATTATTGGCCATATCACATTACTGGTAGAATATATGTATTCCTCTATGTGTGTATATTCTACTAACTATGTGATATCGCCAATAATAGCATTGATATTGATGATTGATTCTATGCGTGATTATTTCTTTCTATATAAATATATGCTGCCTAATGTTTTATGTTTATATATATATATATATATATATATATATTGTTTGACTCAGATCCAAAGGTGAATGCTAAGAGAAAGGCATTCAAAATACAACCACAAAAAAGATAACAGCATTATTATCAATAATAACAAATAAACATTTAAACAACTTTTCACATGTTCAACTAACAATTCCTCTCTGTCTAATTCTAAAATTAATTTTTTGACCACCGATGTTAAGCAACGTTGAGAGTGGTCAGTACCAAGATCGTTGGCCGCTTGGGAATGCCAGCTGCTGTAAGGTTGGATGTGCGGCTGGTGTAATGGATAAAAGCTGGAAATTGAAACTCGAAGAGCTGAGTTACAATTTCAGTCGCGGTCGGTATATTCACTTCCACGCAAATACTCTTAGGAAAAGTATGAATCTAATTCTTCTTGCCCCCCCACCAGATATGGGTTAATTTGCAAAACAATTATTATCTTTAAAAAATATGTAAATATATCCAAAATATTTTCTGTCTTTAAATACCCTGCACAAGGTTGATAATCAGTAAAAAATGCAAATCAATCGATTTTAAATGCATTTTTCCAGTTTTAGAATAAGATGTACCCGAATTTATATATGTGTATTCGAATACTTTCTACTGTCAGTTATTATCAAGAGCTGGAGGCTTACGGCTACATCCCGTTGAAATCACTAGTTTACGTACGATCACCGAAGTTAGGCAACGTCGAGCCTGGTCAGTACCTAGATTGGGTGACTGCTTCGCATTACCAGGTGATTTAAGCTTGTATGTGCAGGTAGCATAATGGATAATGCCCTTTGTTTTCGTTATGTTCATTTACCCGGAAAAAAACCCTTGGGAAAGGGATGCATTGTCAGGACATGTTGTGTCTGTTGTAAATGTGCTGTAGGGTGGAAAATGCTCTATCAAGGCTGCAAATAAAGGATTGAATAGCGCCAGAACGGATATGACAGCGATGATCTATATTTAGTCTGATCTTGTACAGATCATGGCAGGTAAAGTCAGGTGCTTTTGGAGCGGCAAAAGACCCGAGCATTTTTGTAGCTTCTTTAACGATGGATCCTATTTAAAGTCCTGCCAAAGATATTGGAACGGCAATCCTAATTCCTTTGTTTTGCTCTCTGAAGATATTTGGGTTTAAGATCAAAAGTTGAACATGAGACATGAGTTCAGAATTTCTGCTTTTATTTTCTGGTATTTACATCTAGATGGGTTAAACAGTTTAGGATATATCACCTTTTGCTTGAACCCACCCATCTTTCAGGTGAGCAAAACTAGTGGAAAACCGGACTGACAGGGGTTTCTTGTTGCCCAGGTGTTGCCTTTTATATTAAAAACAAAGGAATTGGACTTGACGGTCCAGTACTTTTGGAAGGGATTGTATATGCATTTTACTTGAGATCTTCGTTGAACTTGAGTCTTAACAGACTCTTAAAGCAAAGAGTCTTATTGAAAGTACAACCGTTCATCGTGTGTGTGTGTGTGTGTGTGTGAAAGAGAGAAAGAGAGAGAGAAATATAGAGTCCGGCCAAAAGGAAAGGAAAAACTTGTTGTTGTGGGGCTCTCCCCTTTTTACATAAGATGGACTCGTCCAAAGTATACTTATACTGACAGAAAGAATACCTGCTGTGGAGATACGTTGAGATATGTGGAGATACGATGAAACAGGTTGAGAGATACGGGGACAGACACAAGGTGTTCTCAGAGAGTTATACAAGAGTCCAGAAAGAGAGAGATAGAGAGATGATTACGGCTTAGTTACAGAGACTTGTACATATACTTTCTACTAACCCGCATTCCTGGACTACTAATCTTCACTTCAAGTCTGTATTCCTACGAAAAATAAGTATATTAATACACTTATTTTTCTATCTCAATTTCTGGCGTTTTTTATTTATTTGAGCAGGATTCCATCCCCGGAATCCACAACACTTGTCTTTCGTAGTTTTATCAAATTGCACTAGCGCTATTTACTGCAGTCCAATATTTTCTCTACAGATAATAATTCACTGGCGGTTACTGGACAAGAAATTGAAAATGCATGTGCAGCTCTCCCACTGGAAACATTGACCAACGTTGCCCAAGCAGTAATTCACCGTACTAATAAATCTGTGAAAGCTAACGGCCACCATTTTGAGCATCTTTCGTGCCTATAATGTTCCTTGCTGACTTGTATTAAACTCATGATGTCTGAATAAATTTAGTTTTACAATATCTTTACAAGTTTTTCTTTTCCTGAAGTATGTATACATTTTTTGTATATATACATACGGGCCGTACGCGAATTTTCAAGGACGTTAAAAAGCACACGCTGATTTTAGAACTGAATATATTCCGCTACTCTTTTTGAAGCACGTATTTTTTCAATTTGATATATCCATGTCCTTGTTAGCGGGAACTGTTCCACGGGAAACATTTGAAAGAAGGCGTTAAATTAAGTAATTCTCATGTCAAAATCATTTTTTAAAATGTTGTGTTTGTGCAATGCACGGATTTATCAGCAAAATTGTCCAAATCGTGTGACAGTAAAATTGTCCATTTGCTAGATTAAGCTTTGAACCGTTGTATCTTAGAAATGATTAAATATATCTTACCGGAATACGAGGTTTTTATAACATTATTGGACTCTACTTTTAACAATAAGATTGTATTTAGCTCTAAGTTAAGATGATCATCCTTCTTCCTATTGTGACATCCTGGTCCAGTTTTCCTTTCTACTGTTCCCTGTTTTTTTTACTTTTTTTTTTAATCTTATTCACCATTCTCTTCATGGTTCTTGAATAGGCTTCCAAGATGGAAGCCAAATATAAGAACGTTGGTACCATTACTGAAGGTCTGAATGTATTTTCCTCTCATCATTGCTCAGTTGGGAAGACATGGTGGGGCTCTTTCTAGCTGAATAACTCAAAGGATTTTTCAGTGATTCTTAGAACAAATGGTGTGAAGATGGCTGTACGCCATGTCAGAAAACCTAGGAAAAAGAAACTCAGTTAGTTTAGTGGTTTTTTTTTCTTTGTTTTTTTTTTTTAGATATTAAACATTTTGTGGGAAGGGCAATGATCCCACGCTGTTACACGATTTGGACAATTTTGCTGTTACACCAGTTATATCTATGTTTTTTTCCGCGCATATATTCAGGTCGTTCCACCTGTTTATATCACAGTAGTTCTATAATATCTTAGCCTTTTCTTTATCATTCGCTGTAGCTTTTGTTCAAAATATTTTCTCTCCTATTTCTATTTTTTTTTAATTTGCTTCGAACGAAGCGGTCACCCAATCTAGGTACTGACCAGGTTCAACGTTGCCGAACTTCTCCAGCTCTTGATAATAACTGATAGTAGAAAGTATTCGAATACACATATATAAATTCGGATATACATCTTATTCTAAAACTGGAAAAATGCATTTAAAATTAATTCCTATTAATTCTCGCGATGTTTCATTTGTTCTTCCTTTCTCGCCATTTACGCAGGTAGAAATGACGGAAACAGCTGTCGTGACCATCAATGAGCAAATAAATAACGACAGAATCCATTTGAAATTATCAATTTAAACACCAATATAATTGATCAGGAATATAATTTCCACTGGAGACATATTCACGTCTTTATGACACAGCCGATGTAAAATAGGTTGTTTTTTTGCGTATTAATTTGACGGGAATGACGAATTGCTAATTTAATAGTTATATGATACATAATTAAAAGATTTTCATTGATGTCAAAATACTGTAGAGTTAGAGAGATAAACGAGGTCGTGCAAATATACAAGGGTTGGCTGAAAAGTTTATAGGCTGACTATAAAGAATTGATGCTAGATCTGTGAAATCTGGCATGCATTAATTTAAACTCTTCTTATTAATAACCGCTTTGTTTATTTCCAGGTTAACTGACATCTGACTTTTCAAAGACTCTTCACCTTGTTGGTTAAAAAAGCCATCAACTGTTTTTTTAATGTTGGCAAACACATGATAGTCAAATCAGAAGAATAGGATGGGTGATCACTCGGTTCAAATGCACAGTCACGCATTGTAGGCTTTGGAATCAAGGAATTGGGTGTTGTATCATTGTCTTGATGAAACACGACTGCTTTTGTCATTTCTCCTGGACGTTTGGTATTGTAACTGCCTTAGCAATTTGACATAGTACTCTCCATTGATGGTGTGGTCCTTTTGAATGTAGTCAATAAACACAATGCCTTTTGCATCCTACAAAATTGAGGCAAAATCCTTCACTGCAGATAAAACGACCTTGGCCTTCTTTGGAGCAAGAGAGGAGTGATGTTTCCACATATTCTCTCTTTTTCTCTGACTGAAAGTGAGGAACCCAACACCCATCGTGTGTTAGGAAAAGCTCAAACAAATCAGCTAGGTCTACCTCAAAGAATGTCAGATTTTCACTTGAAGCAAAAAGTCTGTGAGATCTTGATCACATGCCAGAAGATATAGAACCCACTGAACGGAAAACTTCTAACTTTATTGTGCAAAATATCATCAACTCTCTAGCGGTATATGTTAATTGCAATGGCCAATATAGTCAATCGCCTATAATCCATAGCAATATAATGAACACACTCAATGTTTTCCTAGACGGTGGCATTTTCAAGAGGTCCAAACTTTGTATCATTTTCAAGACTCTCCCTTCAACTAATAAATTCAGCAACACATTTGGCACTGGTGATAAAGGTGGTGTATCAAACTCTAATGTATCAACCATGTTAGTATGAATGTTCTTGAGGTTTAAACTATTTTTCTTCAGGTACTTGATAATACCCCGATGCCAAATTTTGTCCGTCATCAAGAAGTCGTTATTAGTTACTTTCGAAGTTTTCTTTGAACAGGCAGATGTTAATTTACCTGGAACGAAACAATGCAATTATTAAGGAAAGTTGAAAATAATGCACGCAAGATTTCATTGCTGTAGCTTCACTCTTTCATAGTCAACCTTTGAACTTTTCATCCCACCATCGTAAATACTTATAAGTACTATTTCCTAAATAAATCAGTTGGCAAAATATTAACATCATAATTTACGCAGATGAAACCGTCTTGTTGTCGGACTCAGAAAGCAAACAGCAGAAACTCCCTGACAAAGGTAGTAAAGAATTCATTCAGACGTTTTTACGGCTAACCAACATTTTGCAGGTATCCCTTTTTTGCCTTTCTTGCCACTCTCTTTTACTACCTGGCTTACGTTGAAACACCGATTCCCATAGGATCACTGAAGTTAAGCAACGTTGAGCCTGGTCAGTACCTAGTTGGCTGACCGCGCGGGAATACCAGATGCTGTAAACTTGGATGTGCCTGTGGTATAATGAATAATGGCTCAGAATTAGAAATCGGAGAAGTGAGTTACTGTTTCAGCACCCCACTCTCGGCTGGAGCTTCAGAATACGCTGATTGTGTCCATGCAGAGGTGTAAGAGCCCACAATGAGACGTCCTGGGTATGACAATAAAATATATCCAAAAGCAAGGCCTCTAATCAAGACGTTTTGAGACCATCTCTTAATTGCTTGTGTTCCAGGACCACTCTTACCTGTGGTGGTAGCACCTGTTAGGGTCCCAGCTATTTGCAAATATGCAACCCTCAAAAGGGGTTCAAAACACTATGAAAGTGTAAAAATAGTTTTTAATACCAGCAATACTTTTTTAGAAGTTGTTGTAGCATATCTACAGACGATAATGGGTATGTCCCAATTCACATAAATACAGTAGTAAATACTGCATGTTGGTCTGCAGTCAGAGATTCGAATCCAGCTGTTCTGGTCAAACTCTCTGCCTCCGGGCAGAGAGGATCCCCAGACGAGGCTATATCGAAGGACAGAGTCTCGTCTCGGGAAACAGCTACCCGACCCCGCTTTATACGGGGTCTACGGGAATTCATAAAATTCAGCCTTGTGCCACATCTGACCGCGTGGGGCGGTTGGTAGATATCATTTGGAGTTGGAGATTGATTTTTGAATACACTTGACTCACTTCTAGCAGTTGACTACTTCTACGCGCCGCTGGCGAATCTTATATGTGTTGTTCTTGTCTTAAGTATTATTGTTCATTAAGTGATTATTTTATTCAGTAACCTTCCCTACATTACAACAGAATTATTATAATTATTGTTATACACAATATATTTTTGTAAAAAATTATTACAACAATACATTTTTAAAAAAAGATATATCATATATATATATATATATATATATATAGATAGATAGATAGATAGATAGATAGATAGATATAGATAACTAAACTCATTTCGAAAAACCCTCGAATTTTTGATTTGCTAATCAAATCAATCTCGAGGGAAAAAAGGGTTTAAAAAAAGAAAGACCGACAAACATGAACTTCTGTCGACAAAAAAATCGCACAGATGCAGGTCTGAAGCCCAAAGAAAAAAACCCCGATACGAGTAAACAACTAACTAACAAAAGCGCTCAATACAACCGTAGAGCAGACCTAGATAAACCTAGTGAGCCAGACAAACCTTAGGTTTCACTAAACGGATCGTCAGGAAAGTCAAGCTAACGAGGCAAAGAGAAACACGACTTGACTTTCCCTGACGATCCGTTTAGGTGAAACCTAGGTAGGTTTGTCTGGCTCACTAGGTGTATATATATATATATATATATATATATATATATAGTCAAAACACTATGAAAGTGTAAAAATAGGTTTTCGTCCCAGAAATACTTTGTAAAAAAATTATTACCAGCAATACATTTAAAAAAAATATTACCAGTTATACATTTTTGAAAAACAAATATTACCAGAAATACATTTTTGTAAAAAAAAAAAAAAAATATTACCAGCTATACATTTTTTGAAAAAAATATTACCACCGAAGGAAAATTATTACCAGATATAGATTTTTGAAGGAAAAAATATTACCAAAAATATATTTTTATAAAAAATGAAAATTTTGTCGGCATTAAATAACCCATTGAGGTTGATAAACCGTAAAACAAACCAAACCAAAATATGTATATTTTTATGTTACGTATTAGTGCGCTGACAGCAGATAAATTTAAGCGACTTTTATGTTATTTAAATTAGCAGGTAATTTTCCCAGTAATTTTTTAAAATAATTTTTGTATCTCTATTCTTCTTCTACAAAATTTGCTTATCGCTTTTTCGACATATGATAATGTACTGACAAGTAGACAATAATAACCATTTTCGACATCTGCTTCACTCCGCTTACAATGAAGGCTCCAAAGTTAACGAATTCCCTCGTGAAATTTGTGCTATCTACGTAGAATGCGCTATTACAGAAAGAACTGCTTAGAAATGGAATCTTCACGTTTCAAGAAGAGGAACTTTGATCTCACAGACTCTCCGCGTTCTAGCCGGCCTGTTCAGTTCTTCGAGCCAAGACCCAGCTATTTCGATTGTCAAGCTAATGAAAAATCGGCAGGGAGTCGGGAACAATGAAGGAGAATATATCATTGTCTGATTTGTTCAAATTGCTGATGAATAATAAGATTAAAATAAAAAGGAAAAAAAAAAACAAAACAAATTTATCTGAAAACTCAATATGTGCATTGTTTGCATATCAGAATATCCAATCATGAATTGCAAAACAATGTTTTTGTTTGGATAACGGAGATTTCTAACTTCAGGTTTTTCCTTACATGCCAAAAACTTATTTATTCGTATGTTGGTCGCCATTTTTAACAACGTGTGGGTGGATGTGAGTGTAAAATGTATCGTCCCTGTGCAAACTCCGATATATGGAGTGATCGGCAGAAATGTATACATTAAATGGCTTAAATCCTGCTGTTGAAAAATTATAATTATAAAATCTTTCAAACTAGGACGTTTGTCAATGTTTTTTTATTTTTTTTTTTAAGCGACAGTTCGAACTGTAATAAAATCTAAATACATGATGAAAGTTAATTTATGTTTTGTTTGTTTTTGAGAATTTACAAAAATAATAAACAATTTTTATATATTAGATTGTTTATTTACAAGAATAATTTTATATTTGCAACATTTTAAAATCTAATACAATGAAATCTAATGCAATGTTACATTTATCATTGAACAATTTATAAAGAAATAAATGTGATTTTTTTATTCATAAATTTATAAATATTTATTAAAATATTGAAATATGTGAAAAACTGTAAGAAAATCTTTTTTCTTTACCAGTTTATAAAGTTTGAATCGATTGGTAATTAGTCGATATCTGTCGATATTTATGAGATAAAGTATTGCAATTATTTATACTATTTACATAGTTCTTGTAGTCTTAACTTAAAGGGACAGCTTGTTTCTTCTTTATATTTCTTACCACAGTTGTACGCGACGGTGTACACACAGTTGTTAGTCATGTTCACCTTTGAAGGGGGGGGGTCTTACTCGGAAGCGGTGTCTGTGAAGTGTTGAACTACTTTTGAAGGTCGTCCTGATTTTATATGGACCACATTTCTATTTGTGTCTATGTGGGCTTAAAATTTTCTGGACACCGAAAATTGATTGCAAGAAAGAAAAGCTTGCGAAAACTGCTTTAAAAGGAAACAACTTCAACGGGAGTCTGTATACTCTCAGATTAGCAATTCCAAGTCATTACTCATTGTACCACACGCACATCTGCCCTTACAGCACCTGGTATTCTCAAACAGTTACCCATCTAATTATTGAACAGGCTTGACGTTGTTTAACTTCGGTGATCGTGCAAGAACTGTTGTTTCAACGATATACGGCCGTAAGCCCGAGTTGCTATTCAATTCGTGTTCGCCATATTCACTTAGGTGTAAATACCCTTGGAAAAGGGATAAAACCACTTCTCTCCCCAGCTATGTGTTAATCAGTAAAGCTTGTATCACTAAATCATTATTATTGCGAACGATATTTTTTACGTTGTAATTTAAAAAATATTTTATGGCTTTTAAATAACCTGGAAAGGTTTGATAGTGAAAATAAATGTTATTTATGAAAAAAAAAAAGACAAAAGAAGGAAATGAAAAAAAAAATTTGTGGTAAATATATTTCTTCAAAAGTTCATGGTATGTTGTATCCGAAACAGTAAAAAACATCATTTTTGTGAGATGCAGAAAGACGGGTTCACCGAGGATTCATTTTTGCGACCACAATCTTAAAAACATAATATATGCAGAATTGCATTGTAGTATCCTATGCAAATGAGAAAGACAAGTATGAATATAGAACAACTGGTGAACATTGGGGCATTGCTTAGCAAACCCGTTTGCTAAACGTAATGCGAAGAACTGTGCTACGACTGCTACTACACAGAGCGATATACCAAACATAAAACGGAAGAGGCAGTTAAGGTTTCTCGGGAACATAATGAGAAAAGAGGGCTTGGAAAATCTGAGACTTACATGATCGATTGAGGGCAAGAGAGGGGAAAACAACGCATAACATACTTAGTGAGCTTGAGTAAATGGATATCGGAATACTGTTTTGAAGAAATAACATAAAGACAAAGTCTATTAAAAGCTGCAAGGGGCAAGCAGTTGTGGAGAGCCAAGATCGCCTACGTCTTGAGGAGACACGGCACATGAAGAAGAAGTTGTAGACATTCGATTTCAAAACGGCTTATACGCAAGTAGAAGATTAATGTAAATAAATGTTTGTTTTCTCTTTATTCTCTACGCTGGTTCCTTAAAATAGAAACTTTGTGCAGCTATGATTTTATGATATCTCCAATCGTGTATGTAAATTCCGTGCTTCTAAATGTAATAAAAATCATTTAAAAAAGGAAAAAAAAACACCTTAGGGTCATACAGATAAAAATTGAAGGAAGAGTTAGAATCAAGTTCAAATGGAAAATAAGAGCTAACCAACAATTTTAAACATTATATTCGTATTCATAATTTATCTAAATTTTTACAAGAGCATTTTGGAAGTTGACCAGTGTAATTAGTAATTAGTAAATCAGTTCTTTTATTTTGTTTTTAACTTCCCTTAAAGTTTTTCCACATACTTTTGGTTGGCATTTTCTCCTGCCATCTTGAAGTTAAACTATTTTCTGTAGAGATTTGTCAGTTTTTCTCTGCTTATGATTATCACTGTGTGTGCTGTCTTGTGCGGATTGTACATTGCAGTCAGTATGCCATATTTCTCGACTGCTAAATAAATATTTCAATGGCTGGATATCTACTGTGTCTGGTACAAGATCGTCTGAGCTCTAAATTTATTCAAAAAAATACGCTCCGGCTGAGACAGTCCTAACTATGGAATGCTTTGTTATATTCAAAATATAAAAGTCGAAACGTTACTCGCTTAAGTGTTAGCGCAATGTTGAATATTAGAGATCCATCTCTTTGGC